GAAACTTATTAGATATTTGTCAGGCTGCTAGTAAAGATGTTGGAGGATGGAAAGGGTTCTGCTGAACCGGGCTGCTGAGTTCTGGATCGGTTAAAGTTTATGGTGAAGACGGGTACAAAGGGTAACCTCTAACCCCAGCAGCCAGTATGTCCTCCTTCTAACTTTAGATTCTGCTCCTGAATGCTCTGGATTTGTTTGGACCAGAGAAGGTAGGCGTTTTCAAGACGACCCCCCCACACGGCCGTTTTGGACGCCCCTCAGTTTGTCAGATCACCTTCATACATACACACCTTCCATGACTGACGATAAAGTTCTGTTGCTCCAGCTTGAAGTAGAACAGCCTTGACTGCATAGAGAGAGGGGGGGGGGCACAGGGGGTCTTTGTCCTCGCTCTGGGTGGAGTTTCAGGGGAATTTGGTTTTAATGACATGAACACATACACTCTAAACACAGACATTTAAACATGCTGCAGCCCCACCCTGACCACCTAAAGGACTTGTAGTGAGAGCCATTCACAATTCATGCTACAGAAGAGACGTTTGATTGTAGATGTACAAACCCCATCTCAGATCTCCTGAAGCCTGAGCTCTGTTCCTCGTTTACGGATGAATAAAGTTCATGTGAAATGATTGTTAATGATTGGACACACGTCTGGAGTCTGGACTCATGTTTATAATAAAGTTATAAAGTTGAGACTTATGGACAGCGGAGAGCGTCCACAAAGGAGCGTCAGACTCTGAATGTTGACGGGCCCTCGTGGAGGTTTGGCTCCATGGGGTTGTCTCGGCATGGATGTATTAAAGCAGTGGATGCAGCGTTGGAGGTGGAGCCTTTCATTCCTATGAAAGCTGCTCAGAGGCCTCTGAAGCAAAAAATGTCTACTGCATGTAAAAGTACCCAGGATCCGCTCTGTTACTGAGAGAGGACGCTCACTGTGAGTCTCAGTCCTGCGTCCATTATGTCAACAAAAATATCTCTGAATTCACTATTAAAGTCTTAATATGTTTTCACACTTAAATGTAGAAATCAAGTATCTCCTCTGAAAATAACTCTGTGAGTCATGACTGTCTACAATGGGTGTAACACCCGAGTCCCACTGTCTGTGATGTTTTCAGAGTTTTCAGAGTCCTATCTTCAGTTTGTTTACATCGCCGGGACGGCCGGCTGACTCCTCCCCTTGTGTATAAAAGTTGTTTAATTGAGGGACTAGAGAAAAGAAGAATAACATACTGTACTCACTGCTTAACTGTGTTTCTAGATCACGCTCATTTCAGGTAAATTTACATGCAGTGTGAAGATACCAGCAGAATAAAGATCACTAGCATCTAGAGTCTGGTTCTGAACACACTGAATCAGAGTCTGTCAGAGTCAAAACAAAAGCTGCTTTCTGGGTGCAGGTCCTCCCGGCCCCCTGCCCCACCCCCCGCCTCCGTCAGGCTGTCCTCAGAAAGCCTCCTCTGTGCAGCTGCTGATTCCGGATAAGGTAAATACACACTCTGCTCACTACACCCAAACCCCCCCCCCGCCCCCCCACCACCTCCACCTTCATGTCTAGCTCAGAAACAAGGGGCGAGTTCAATGCCAGCAGAGAGAGCGGCGGCTGAAACTCGACCTCTGTCTGAAACACTGGAGAGAGAGAGAGAGAGAGAGAGAGAGAGAGAGAGAGTCCCTCTGCACCTTTAAGAAAAAGCTAAAGACCCAGCTCTTTCATGAATACCTACTAACTTAATGATGATGGTCTCCATATTATTGATGATGATGATGGTAATGACGATGGTTTTTGTTTGATAACGACGACTTATAAGATGGTTTCTATACTGATTAGAGCTCTCAAGAACTGCCCTCAATGTTGTGCTTTGCCTCTGGTCACTTCCTGTCAGCACCTGTGTGTCCAATCAGACTCAAAGCTGATCGTTTGCTCTTACTCACATTGTTCCCTTTTTTCTAGATCCTTGCTTGTGTTGTTCTTACTCTCTGATGTACGTCGCTTTGGATAAAAGAGTCTGCTCAGTGAATTGTAGAATCTGAGGGAGCGAGGGACTGGAGAGGGGGGACAATCGTTCTTTTTTAATAAAAGTCATTTTTGCGTTGCAGCGTCACATGATGTCTACTGAAGTGTCTGTAACTTTCTCAGAAATATGAATATTAAAATAAAAATGTCACCTTGCACGCCTTTAGCAGTACGCTTCTACGATATTTAATCATGCATGCAGGAAAGCGTTGTTGATGTTTGAATGCTCATAACCTGCTCAACATCTGCATGTGTGTGTGTTTAACAGCGACGTCATGAACTTGAAGTATTTCTTTATTAGAGTGAACTGACCTCTTTAAATGTTCACTGATAAACTGATCCGGAGCAGATTCGTGCACAGTCAGTTCCACCCAGCTCTTTTTTTTCTGGCAGTTTTCTGCTTTAGCGCACTTTGGGGATTTGATCATCCTCGGCTGGGTGTGACTGAATGTTGCAAAAAGATAAATGTGAGATGATATTTGGAATGGTTGCACTGAGATCGCTGCACATGTTCTTAAGTACTGTGCTTCAACATCAAATGTGAGGTTCTTGTTCGTCCCTTCTTCTTCTTATCTTCTGAGCAGAGGAAGAAGACGTGAGGAAAAAGGAAATCGAGTCACCGTGAAGACGAGACCATGAGGAGGAGATACAGGTTTCCCTCCAGCCTCTATCTCAGCATGCACATGTGAAACAGGAGACTCGCTCGCAGATAAGCAGAGACACGGCGGCTCCTCGTTCACACCGAGCCGCCGCCGCTGCTGAGAAGTCTGTGTGGGAAATCCGTGATATGAGCTGAGGAGGAGGTCAAGGAGTCAACGAGGGACGAAAACCTTTGAAGAGACTCGATTTATGTGGACAGGAAGGATTAGTAAATAGCTCAGTGAATCTTATTTTCTGCAGAAACACATACCTGAAGTAAATATATAAAAGTCAAAGCTCACAGGAAGCTGCACGCTCAGGCAAAATGTATGTTGATTTATGGGAAGGAAAAAAAGTGCAAAGTGGGAAAAAACACAACTGAAGCTGCCTATCAGGGCTAAAATATTCATAAAGAGCATCTTCCCCCCTCGAGGGTTTGAACCAGAATAGATCCAGTTTGTGTTTTAAAGACTCAGCAGAGACGCAGGAAATAAGCAAAATGAATTATTGCAATTAAAAGTGTTTCTCTTAAAATGCCCTGCAGAGATTTATCAATCAGTCTTTATTTGTAAAGCTCCAACTCATAACAAATGTTATCTTGAGGCACCTTATTCGTTCTTATGTTAGAAAAAGAAAAATGGGATAGAAGGAGATGGATAAGATGCAGGAAGAAGGAACGGGACAAACGGGGGGGGGGGGGGTCCATAGCAGCAGGACGTCCCACCAACGATCCTGAGGAACCTACAAGACCTGAGAGCTCAGGAGCTCCCAGGAGAATATGTTGTTATTAACTAAGATTTAGAGATAGAGACATGTGATATTACGATGTGAATGCACAGAGGGAGAGAGAGTTCCTCCTGTAGTCTAAACCTAGAGCAGCATAACTAGGAGCTGGCCCAATTTGATATTTCTTTATGGGGCCCGGAGGTCCTGGAGGTCCTGGAGGTCCCGGAGGTCCTGGAGGTCCTGGAGGCGCCCCTGCTCACAAGACTTTAATAAATAAAAACACATAATTCAATCAAACTCAAATGAAATAGCTGCAGGCCGACAGAGCCAATCACATCCCACTATTATATCTTCACTTACAATTCATTTTATTTTATTACAAAATGATTTACCTTTTACAACAACAATTACGTCATCATATTTCATATTTCATATTTCATATTTCATATTTAATTCTCGCTTTAATTGTTTTTATGTTTTCCTGAGGAGACCGGGCACAGGTGACTCCACAAGAGGGCGCCAACGAGAAACAAATCTACCCAGCTGCCGTTAAAACCACCAGAGACTCAGAAGAAGAATTCAACCAATCAGAGAACTCTTAACTGCTGCCTGGTGACCAGCGACCAATAGAAAGCGTCCGTGTGAGCGCGGACAAACGGATTTGTTGTTGTTGTTGCTGTGATATCTGTGTTTAGCCACAGAAGAGTCGGTTTGAATCAAAGACTGTAAAGAATCGTCCTAATGAGTCTTTCTCTGAGGTAAAGCGTTTTGTTTCATCCTTTATTTTTAATATCTGATGTTTGGATCGTTTTAAAGAAGCTAACGTGTAGCCGCCTAGCAACGCTACTTCGTTTATGCTAGCTTTATGTTAGCATGTTTGTTAGCATGTTTGTTAAACTGCGATAAACAAAAAGCCTGACAGATGAAACATGTCTCTTACTTTAGGTCATTATCTCCCTGTTTGTATTACTTCGTTACTCCTTAATCCACGCTCTATTCATCTCATTGGGTTAGAGTTATAAATACAATAAATAAATAAAACATTTAGATTAAAACAACAATAAGAAACAACCCGGAGTGTGTGGAGGAGGTTTTATATGTTTATAAGTCTTTTTGTTTTACACACAGAATGTTGGAAATGTGGAAATTAATTATCTTTTTTATTATTATTATTATTATTATTAATGTTCATGAAAATCTTGAGCTCAAACATGACCTTTGACCCTGATTTATAAGTTAAGGTACTCTGCCTTTGTATTACCTGTATAATAATAAGAGGTGAAGACAAAAGGCATTAACTTCCATTTGTTAGCTGATCGTTATATTAAATCACTTCATGATAATAACATGAAATCTAGTGATCAAGGCAAAACAAAGAGTAACACCTTCAACTGCACTAAAACAGTAACTTCACCTTCAACTGCACTAAAACAGTAACTTCACTTTGATCTGCACTAAAACAGTAACTTCTCTTTGATCTGCACTAAAACAGTAACTTCTCTTTGATCTGCACTAAAACAGTAACTTCACCTTCAACTGCACTAAAACAGTAACTTCACTTTGATCTGCACTAAAACAGTAACTTCTCTTTGATCTGCACTAAAACAGTAACTTCACTTTGATCTGCACTAAAACAGTAACTTCACTTTGATCTGCACTAAAACAGTAACTTCACTTTGATCTGCACTAAAACAGTAACTTCTCTTTGATCTGCACTAAAACAGTAACTTCACTTTGATCTGCACTAAAACAGTAACTTCACTTTGATCTGCACTAAAACAGTAACTTCACCTTCAACTGCACTAAAACAGTAACTTCACTTTGATCTGCACTAAAACAGTAACTTCTCTTTGATCTGCACTAAAACAGTAACTTCACTTTGATCTGCACTAAAACAGTAACTTCACTTTGATCTGCACTAAAACAGTAACTTCACCTTCAACTGCACTAAAACAGTAACTTCACTTTGATCTGCACTAAAACAGTAACTTCACTTTGATCTGCACTAAAACAGTAACTTCACTTTGATCTGCACTAAAACAGTAACTTCACTTTGATCTGCACTAAAACAGTAACTTCACTTTGATCTGCACTAAAACAGTAACTTCACTTTGATCTGCACTAAAACAGTAACTTCACTTTAAACTGCACTAAAACAGTAACTTCTCTTTGATCTGCACTAAAACAGTAACTTCACTTTGATCTGCACTAAAACAGTAACTTCTCTTTGATCTGCACTAAAACAGTAACTTCACCTTCAACTGCACTAAAACAGTAACTTCTCTTTGATCTGCACTAAAACAGTAACTTCACTTTGATCTGCACTAAAACAGTAACTTCACTTTAAACTGCACTAAAACAGTAACTTCACCTTCAACTGCACTAAAACAGTAACTTCACTTTGATCTGCACTAAAACAGTAACTTCACTTTGATCTGCACTAAAACAGTAACTTCACTTTGATCTGCACTAAAACAGTAACTTCACCTTCAACTGCACTAAAACAGTAACTTCACTTTAATCTGCACTAAAACAGTAACTTCACTTTAATCTGCACTAAAACAGTAACTTCACCTTCAACTGCACTAAAACAGTAACTTCACTTTGATCTGCACTAAAACAGTAACTTCACTTTAATCTGCACTAAAACAGTAACTTCACCTTCAACTGCACTAAAACAGTAACTTCACTTTGATCTGCACTAAAACAGTAACTTCACCTTCAACTGCACTAAAACAGTAACTTCACCTTCATCTGCACTAAAACAGTAACTTCACTTTGATCTGCACTAAAACAGTAACTTCACTTTGATCTGCACTAAAACAGTAACTTCACTTTGATCTGCACTAAAACAGTAACTTCACTTTAATCTGCACTAAAACAGTAACTTCACCTTCAACTGCACTAAAACAGTAACTTCACCTTCAACTGCACTAAAACAGTAACTTCACTTTGATCTGCACTAAAACAGTAACTTCACTTTGATCTGCACTAAAACAGTAACTTCACTTTAATCTGCACTAAAACAGTAACTTCACCTTCAACTGCACTAAAACAGTAACTTCACCTTCAACTGCACTAAAACAGTAACTTCACTTTGATCTGCACTAAAACAGTAACTTCACCTTCAACTGCACTAAAACAGTAACTTCACCTTCATCTGCACTAAAACAGTAACTTCACCTTCAACTGCACTAAAACAGTAACTTCACCTTCAACTGCACTAAAACAGTAACTTCACCTTCAACTGCACTAAAACAGTAACTTCACTTTGATCTGCACTAAAACAGTAACTTCACTTTGATCTGCACTAAAACAGTAACTTCACTTTGATCTGCACTAAAACAGTAACTTCACTTTAATCTGCACTAAAACAGTAACTTCACTTTGATCTGCACTGAAACAGTAACTTCACTTTAATCTGCACTAAAACAGTAACTTCACTTTGATCTGCACTAAAACAGTAACTTCACCTTCAACTGCACTAAAACAGTAACTTCACCTTCAACTGCACTAAAACAGTAACTTCACCTTCAACTGCACTAAAACAGTAACTTCACTTTGATCTGCACTAAAACAGTAACTTCACTAAAACAGTAACTTCACCTTCAACTGCACTAAAACAGTAACTTCACTTTGATCTGCACTAAAACAGTAACTTCACTTTGATCTGCACTAAAACAGTAACTTCACTTTGATCTGCACTAAAACAGTAACTTCACTTTAATCTGCACTAAAACAGTAACTTCACTTTGATCTGCACTAAAACAGTAACTTCACTTTAATCTGCACTAAAACAGTAACTTCACTTTGATCTGCACTAAAACAGTAACTTCACCTTCAACTGCACTAAAACAGTAACTTCACTTTGATCTGCACTGAAACAGTAACTTCACTTTGATCTGCACTAAAACAGTAACTTCACTTTGATCTGCACTAAAACAGTAACTTCACCTTCAACTGCACTAAAACAGTAACTTCACTTTGATCTGCACTAAAACAGTAACTTCACTAAAACAGTAACTTCACCTTCAACTGCACTAAAACAGTAACTTCACTTTGATCTGCACTAAAACAGTAACTTCACTTTGATCTGCACTAAAACAGTAACTTCACTTTGATCTGCACTAAAACAGTAACTTCACTTTAATCTGCACTAAAACAGTAACTTCACTTTGATCTGCACTAAAACAGTAACTTCACTTTAATCTGCACTAAAACAGTAACTTCACTTTGATCTGCACTAAAACAGTAACTTCACCTTCAACTGCACTAAAACAGTAACTTCACTTTGATCTGCACTGAAACAGTAACTTCACTTTGATCTGCACTAAAACAGTAACTTCACTTTGATCTGCACTAAAACAGTAACTTCACTTTAATCTGCACTAAAACAGTAACTTCACTTTGATCTGCACTAAAACAGTAACTTCACTTTAATCTGCACTAAAACAGTAACTTCACTTTGATCTGCACTAAAACAGTAACTTCACCTTCAACTGCACTAAAACAGTAACTTCACTTTGATCTGCACTAAAACAGTAACTTCACCTTCAACTGCACTAAAACAGTAACTTCACCTTCAACTGCACTAAAACAGTAACTTCACCTTCAACTGCACTAAAACAGTAACTTCACTTTGATCTGCACTAAAACAGTAACTTCACTTTGATCTGCACTGAAACAGTAACTTCACTTTGATCTGCACTAAAACAAAGACAGAAGACCTTAACTGAGTCTGAGCTTTACAGAACGCTGCAGTACAAAGACCCTGATGAGTAAAGTTACTCTACAAAGACCCTGATGACTGAAGTTACTCTGCAAAGACCCTGATGAGTAAAGTTACTCTACAAAGACCCTGATGAGTAAAGTTACTCTACAAAGACCCTGATGACTGAAGTTACTCTACAAAGACCCTGATGAGTGAAGTTACTCTACAAAGACCCTGATGAGTAAAGTTACTCTACAAAGACCCTGATGACTGAAGTTACTCTACAAAGACCCTGATGAGTAAAGTTACTCTGCCTTGGTTTCTCGAGGGCTTTTGGAAGTTAAGGCAAATACAACGTACTATTTTCTCAAAAAAAAGAACAACACAATTGACTCACGATATCTGTCCTCATGATAAAGCACATCTGTAATGTTCCAAAAATGACAAAAACTCAAGTTACTGCCTTTTGTCTTTGTAGGGCAGAATAAACGGCCTGTGTTATAAACAGTGACATGTGAGACTACTCTTGCATGTTGAGTTAGTTTGTACTAACCAATCAGAGACAGAGTAGGAAAGGTCATCCCTTCATCATCCTCGGGTTAGGGTTGCAGAATCCTACTGAATACTTTCAATCAATCTGTCTTTCCACAAGTGAAAGTGCACATTATAACGGTATTTATTTTTCTTATATTAAATTACTGTAAATAATAATAACTTTATATTATTTTAATAATAATAACTTTATTTCTATAGCACCTTTTAAAAACACAGGTTTACAAAGTGCTTTGACAAACAGCAAAAACAAGAACAAACTAAACCAAACACAGAAGAACTTAAACAACAACAAGAACATAAAAAATGCAAAATACTAAAAATAATTAAATACAATTCAACAGAAAAGAACCCAAAGTGCAGGATATACAACAGACATATAGAACCCGACCATCACAAGAACCATCACAAGAACCATCATAAAAACCCAAATGTAATATGTTTGTTTTTACATTTGCTGATTTTTGGATTCTACTCCTCTTTTTTAATCCTTGTAACAACCAAATTTACCCCAACAGGGGATCAATAAAGTTGATTTTATGCCTTGCTGATATCTCTAAATGGGATGAATGAACACCACCTTCAACTCAATCTTTCAAAGACTGAGCTCCTTGTCATCCCAGCCAGTCCCTCTATGCAACCACAGATCAATATCCAGCTTGGAACAACCAAACTCATGCTCACAAAGTCTGCAGGAACCTGGGTGTCATGATTGATGACCAGCTAATATTTAAGGTTCAAGTAGCCTCGATTGCCCGGTCATGTCGATTTGCCCTGAACAACATCAGGAAGATCAGACCTTACCTGTCAGAGCTACACAGCTCCTGGTACAGGCTCTTGTGATATCTCAAATGTTCAGATATTTCTTGATTATACTTCAGAAACAGCTGAATGTTTGCAGCACTTTGAGTCCAAGACAAACTTCCCCAAGGGGCAATAAAGTGTATCGCATTAATCATATGAGTGATAGAGAATACTAAAATGATCCACAAAGTTTACAGTATTTAATGTCACTTCTGTGTTTTCTCTCTCCAGACCTGAACTGGCAGCAGATAAGAACAAGCGTAAGAAGAGGAGAGAGCTCACCGAGGATCAGAAACATGAAATCAAAGAAGCTTTCGATCTGTTCGACACCGACAAAGATCATGAAATAGATTACCACGAGCTGAAGGTGAGTGAAGAACGACAGTTTTGTCTTGTTATAAATCCACAGTGTGCCTTCACCCTTCAACAAAAGCCCAAACTCTGCTGCATCATATAGCCTCAGACAGACGGAGAACAACTTCTGCACAGCAGGGAAAGTAGCAACATAAAGATTCCAGCTGTGCAGAGCTAACTGTTTTCTCTCTGTGTTGTAAATTCTGTTTGTGAAAGACAGGAGAAAGTTTGATTACTTTAACTATTGTTTATTAATATTAGGATCCCTATTAGCCCTGGCACATGACTGCAGCTTCTCTTCCTGGTGTCCACAATATAATTAAACTATTAGTGATTTCTCACCTGCAGTAAACTCCTGATATATCCAGGCTGAGCTGCATGTGTTTCCTGTTTCTAATAAACAAAAGTAGCGAGCTATTAAGCTAACCCTTAATGTACAGAAATGACGGAGAGAATAACAAATAGAGGCCGGGTTATTTAAAACCTCATCTCGGTTTCATCAGGTCACACCCTGAAAAACATACTTCAGGTGCATTAATAATTTCCTCACAGCCCGGCTGTGGATGTAAAGTATAAAGTATTTATCAAATCTTTATATCAAACATGCCAACAGGTGGCGATGCGAGCTCTCGGTTTTGAAGTGAAGAAAGTCGACGTTTTGAAGATCCTCAAAGACTACGACCGAGAGGGAAACGGAAAGATCACTTTTGAGGATTTCAATGAAGTCGGTGAGCTTGTCTTGAACTGGTTTAACCCTCAGACATCAGTTTGATTTACTCCCCTCTGAAGTCACTTAGGACAAAAATGTCCACTTCCAAAAAACTGATATATAAATAGAACAGATTGATATTTTTTTCTACTTTTTTCTGCATAAATTTCTTAAACAACTTCAGCCCTGCTCAAAACTACCAAACATTCAATCATTTTTAGGAATTTAACCCTTTAAATGCCAGTTTGATTACTTGATGTCACTGTTGTTATTTATGAAAAAAAGATTATCCAAAATATTGACTTTGATGCATTGTTAGTTTTTGTGTAGCATCAGATTTAAAATGTAGTTCCCTGTTTGGACATTAGAGGGCGCAAATGTCCAATTTATAGAATAGAATAGAATTACTTTGTTGATCCCAAACTGGGAAATTGTGGTTTTTACAATTTACATTTTACAATTTAAAAAAACTGCTATATAAATAGAACAGATTCATATTTTTTTCTACTTATTTTTGCATAAATCTCTTAAACAACTTCAGCCCTGCTCAAAAATATCAAATAATTATCAGGAACTTAACCCTTTAAATGACAGTTTGATTACATGATTTTGGCATTTAAAGGGTTAAATTCCTGACACTTATTCAATATTTGGTAGTGAGTGAGTTTGTCTTGAACTGGTCTAAGATGTGATGGTTGAACCCGGCTGGTTGATATTTATGAGACGCATCATGTTACGTATGCAGTGACCGACCGCATCCTGGAGCGGGACCCCAAGGAGGAGATCATGAAGGCCTTCAAGCTGTTTGACGACGACGAATCGGGAAAGATCGGTCTGAGGAACCTGAGACGAGTCGCTCGAGAACTCGGGGAGAACATCAGCGACGAGGAGCTGCGCAGCATGATCGACGAGTTCGACGCCGACGGAGACGGAGAAAGTAAGACATCCAGTTACTGATCCCAAAGCTGTCAAAGAGAAACTGTTTTAGGGGCGCTGGTGGCGCAGTGGTTAGTGCGCGCCGCATGTATGGAGGCTGTAGTTCTTCAAGCGGGCGGCCCAGGTTCAAATCCCACCTGTGGCTCATTTCCCGCATGTCGTTCCCAACTCTCTGTCTCCCCGGTTTCCGACTCTATCCACTTTCCTATCTCTACAATAAAGACACAAAAAGCCATATAATAAATCTTTATAAGAACAATTTAAAAAAGAGAAACTGTTTTTGTTGTTGGGTGAAACAGAACTGAAGCAAAAGTCTGCGCCCGATGAATCCATCAGTTTTTACATCATGTGATTTTACTGTTTGTCCCTTTGTGAAGTGTTTTATCACAACAACAGAACAGCTCAGTGTTCTGCCTTCTTCACTCCTTCAGTCTGATCAGGAAGTCTGAAGTAGTTAACAGTTTGATCCAGCAGAGGGCGCTCTCAGCATAACTTGACAATTGTGTGCACTGTTGACCTCAGCAAGAAGACAGTACTGTTGTAAAAGCAACAGGGGGCGCTATTCAGGAGATGCAGACTGACATAATAATAATAATAATAAAGTTTATTGATAAAGCAAGCCACAAAGTGCTTTACAGAAAAATTAAAATCCCAACAGTCAAATACACAACAATAAAATCCTATTAAAAAAAGCATGAAAAATAAAACAACAGTGCAGCAATCATCCAATGAACAGAGAGAAGAGAAACAACCGAGACAAAGATCGGCTAAAGTTAACAGTAAAACAAATAAAAACATCATGGATGAAACGAGGATTATAAGAAGGCCTTACGATAAAAATGTGTTTTTAAAAGAAGATACTGATGTATCTACATGAGGGAGACTCTCTGCAGAAAGCAGCCCTCTGATTGGTGGAGAGACACAGGGTCACTACAAACCTGCAACTCTCCAAGCTGGCTCGCAAAGATAGGCGTGTACCAGAATCGTCTGTGCACTCTGAACGGGCGTTCTGCACTCGACCCCGATCAGGTTAATAGACTTTTGTTTCTGGTGAATACTATTAAAATACAAATCTGTCTTTTTGGATAAATTCTGAAAATGTTTTGTCTCTGTGGTCAAATGCTACCGGGTCATGTTCCAAATTTGTTGGAAAAATGACAGTCCGTGTGGAAACACAAGCAAGCATAGAGGGCGGAGCTATACACACTGCAGTCTGCGGGTTGGTCAAAAGAATCGTTACTTCCCGTGTCACAGCGGTAATAAAACACAAAACGCTCCATATGTAAATATCTGGTAGATTTCCAGAGAGTCGTTTCAAGGCTGTTTTTGTTTTTTTGTGATGATGTCAGCGCGTAGCTCCATGGACGACCGCTCGGGGCAAAACCAGTTTACACATCGCCCTTAATGAGGACTTTACACCCGAAGTTAAGACACACACACCAGCTGCTGAAACAGGAAGCAGACTTTAAAGGAAACTAAAGAATGAGTCGATGAGTCGCCTGAACGTTAACCTCCACAAACATTCAGCAGCTTTTCTGGAATATTCTAAACGAGTTTTAATGATCAAAGTGTTTTTGTGTTTTTCAGTAAACCAGGAAGAGTTCCTCTCCATCATGACAGAGGACTCATGATGACGACGCTTTCTGTTCCTGTGGACTGAACATCATGAGCTGTATGGAGGCGGGCGCCGTGAGCTCTGGAGGGTCCGACGTGGAGCGGACTCACTCATTGGCCCGTCGAGCTGAGCGGTGTGTCCTGAAGATGTTTCTAATCAGTGCGTTTGATTTCTTCATGATTGAGCCGGAGAACATTTCAGACTTCATGAAGTTTCTGATATTTGTTGTTTTTTGTTGTCTGTTGTTTCTCCTGGAGGAGTCTGTGGTTTAAAATATGAAATGTGATATTTATTCTGTGCAAAATAAAATCAGTTTGGCAGCCAGGATGTGATGTCATCGTGCGATGCTGTCTCTTTAGTTTACATGAGATCACTAAACTAGTGCTGGTGCTAACAATGCTAACTGGACTTTTTACACGCTCACACATACACACACACACACACACACACACACAGTTACTCTCCCACTACGCTGACGAGCAGAGACGCCTGATTGGACGACGGAGGTCACTGCTGCTTCAGTCAATACTCCCAACACATAATCCACGCCCCCTCAGCAGATTTGGACCAGACTCGGTCAGACTTCTGGTTGGTGGGACAACTTTAAAAATGAAATGGTCATTGCAGAGAAATGGGGTGAAAATGTTCACGTCAGGGACATCGTTGTTGACTTGGCGTGCTCATGTGACTCTTTAAGGTCGTTTATTTCGTCTTAGTCGTGTCTGTGATGTCGTTTCTCCTCTCTCATTAACTTGACTTTCTCATCGAGGTTAGTTTGCATCTCTTTTTGGTGATCTTTCTTTTGTGTTTTTTTTGCTCTTCTGTCTTTTTGTCTTTTTGTCTTTTCTTTTGCAGGTCTTGTTGGTCGTTTAGCTCTTTTCTTTTTTGTGATGTCTTTCGGGTTTTTGCTCTCTTAGAATCTTTGGACAGTTTTCTCTCTTTGTTGACATTTTGTTGACTTTTTAAAATGTCTTATCTGCAGTTTTACTTGCTGTACCTCAGCTGTCCACCAGAGGGCAGCACTCTCACATCTCTAACCCTTTATGATGTGTTTGGTGAACTTCAGCCTCACTACATGATAACTCAAATGTTTCTGCCAGTTTGAACTCTTTAAACTCAACGTTTCAAACCAAGAAAGACTCTAATCCAAACTTTCTACATTAAAAACTCTGAGTTCACATATTTTCTGATGATGTGTGAGCTCGTCACTCTCTGCTCGCAGCAGAGACGCAGAACCTGGACCACAAAAACCCCTCCATAGGCGGATCCTCCTGTGCTCCCTGTTATTTGGGCCCCCGCAGACCTTTAACCACGGCTTTAGATGAAGGTCTGCGGCATGTGTTTTTCCTCCGTTTAACCCCTCGTCTGCCGCCCTCATGATGAAGAGGAGTGTGGTCGGCTAACCCCAGTTTGCTTTGGTAATAACACGAGGCGATCGCACAATGACAGGCTGCAGCGCTCTGTGGCTTTTCTCCTGTGTCATAAAGTTTCTGAGTGGGACGACTGAAAGTGATGCAGTGAGAGAGCGCTCACACACACACACACACACACACACACTGAAGGTCAGCAGCAGCTCTGAGGGGTAATCATCAGAACCTGGACCCGGTCTGTCCTGCAGGGACTTTGCCCTTGCTCCGGCACATGCTCAGCTGTCGGTCCATATGCTCCAGAAATAAACCACACCAGTTCCTCCCCAGTTACAACCTCAGAGTCGCCCCCCTGTGGTTAGCATGACACCACACACAGACGCACACACACACACACACACTCTTTTGTAGTGCGTAATGGTGGGGGTGACTACACAGGGCCCCAGTGGAGGAGGGGGCCCTGATTGGACTTCAGAAGAAATGAAACCTGAAATAATCAAGTAATGAAATTTAAAACTGAAGAAACTTTTAAACAATAAATATCAACCTCAAAAAATCCTGTTAATTGTCGAGTTAGCTTTCAAAGGTGAAATATACAATCGCCCCCCCCCCCCCCCTTCAGTCACATTCAGACGAACAGAAAACCCCTCAGATGTGTTTTCAGTCTTCAAACATTTAAAGTGTTTCAGAGTTTGGTCGCCAGGCGTCTCTGAAGCATCTCGTCAGAGTTCAGCTCTGCGTCCACCTGTCAGTCATTAGAACAGATATGCCCTCTATGTGACAACACTTACCCTCCGACACCCCCTCCTCTCAGACGGGGGAACAGGGAGGGGGAGGGGGGGTTCAGATCTGAGCGGTTGATGTTCTCCAGAAACTGATTATTACAGAAAGTCTCTTCATCTGATGAGACCTAACTCGCCCACAGTCCGCACAGAGAGAGAGAGAGAGAGATGTCAGCGTGTTAACGACGTCTGTCAGCTGTGATGGTGACACCAGCCTCCAGGTGGGGTCCTGACCTTTGACCCCCCCCTGACCTCGACCTGCACGGCCACCTCGAGTCGAGCCACGTCGTAAAATGATCGGCATGAGAAGCAGCTCGTTGTGAAGTTTCTTATTATCATCCTCAACATTTAATTTCCTTTTTAGTCTTTTTCAACATTTGAGGCTGAACTGTCGTCGAGTCGAGTTTTTTTATTTCTCACATTTCAGCAACGAATCAAAGAGGTTCAGACACGGCGGTGTCAGAAGCATCACCACGAAGACACGTTCAAATAGAAACGTTTAAAAATCACTCAAACAAACCGTTAACCATCACAGAGAAAATATGAAAATATGAAATAAAATCTTAATCAGAAATACAGAAATAAGACTTTAAGTAGACTGCTGGTTATGGCGGCGAGCAAGGTGGACGTGGTTACTCGTGCTCCGTTGCTAGAGACTAAGTCAAAATCGGGACCAGGGCAGGGTGAGACCGAGTCTACAATTCTACAATTCACTTAGCAGACTCTTTTCTCCAAAGCGTCGTACATCAGAGAGTAAGAACAACACAAGCAAGGATCTAGAAAAAAGGGAACAATGTCAGTAAGAGCAAACGATCAGCTTTGAGTCTGATTGGACACACAGGTGCTGACAGGAAGTGACCAGAGGCAAAGCACAACATTGAGGGCAGTTCTTGAGAGCTCTAATCAGTATAGAAACCATCTTATAAGTCGTCGTTATCAAACAAAAACCATCGTCATTACCATCATCATCATCAATAATATGGAGACCATCATCATTAAGTTAGTAGGTATTCATGAAAGAGCTGGGTCTTTAGCTTTTTCTTAAAGGTGCAGAGGGACTCTGCAGATCACATGGAGTTTGGAAGTTCATTCCACCACCGGGGGGCGACAGAGGAGAAGAGTCCAGTCAGAGACTTAGGACCTTGTTGTGAAGGTTGGATCAGACGCCTTTCATTGTCAGAGCGTAGTGGGGGGAGGGAGTGTAGACCTGGATGAGAGAGTTAAAGTAAGGAGGAGACGTTTTAGTCGCTGTTTTGTAAGCGAGAGGCAGAGCTTTAAATTTGATGCGAGCAGTAACTGGGAGCCAGTGTAAGGAGATAGAACAGCGGAGTGACATGTCAAGACCAAGACCGAGACATTTAGGGATCGAGAGTGAGTCAAGACCAAGACATTTAGGGATCAAGACTGAGTCAAGACCAAGACTGAGACATTTAGGGATCAAGACTGAGTCAAGACCAAGACTGAGACATTTAGGGATCAAGACTGAATCAAGACCAAGACCGAGACATTTAGGGATAGAGACCAAGTCAAGACCGAGACCAAGTCAAGACCAAGACCTAGACCAGGGTAGGGTGAGACCGAGTCAAGACAAAGACCGAGACATTTAGGGATAGAGACCGAGTCAAGCCGAGATAGCAATATGCCTACAGGTGCTATATTCATTGACCTTGCTAAAGCATTTGGTTGATCATTTCTTTTCTTCATTATTGAAGTCAATGTGTTTTTTCAGGGCAGCCAGTCAGACTTCCAGATTATTGATAAAGGTGTGCCACAAGGTTCATCTTTAGGTCCTCTATTATTCTCCATCTTCATCAATGACCTCTCACAAGTTTGTTCTGACTGTCAAATTCATTTATATGCCGATGACACTGTAATATACTCCTCCAGTTCGGACATTTCACTAATTCAATAATCTGATTTTAATCTAGTCCAAAAATGGTTCTCTGTCAATAAGCTTCTTCTGAAAAAGAAAAATCATATTTTATGTTGTTCTGCACTCGACCAGATTCTTTGCCTTTAACAAAAAACTGACATATTCATTTCCTGGATGGAACAGCATTAGAAAAAGTAGATGAATTTAAATATTTGGGCCTTTGGCTAGATTCCTAGTTATCTTTCAAACCTCATATCAACTCAATCTCTAAGAAAATATATGCTCGACCAAGACCGAGACATTTAGGGATAGAGACCGAGTAACTGAACTTCTGAGTTTACAACAAAACAGTTTGATGTGTACATGTTGTGTACATGTTGTGTACATGTTGTGTACATGTTGTGTGTATATGGTGTACATGTTGTGTACATGTTGTGTACATGTTGTGTACCTGTGTGTACATGTTGTGTGTATATTGTGTACATGTTCTGTGTATATTGTGTAAATGTTGTGTACATGTTGTGTACATGTTGTGTACATGTTGTGTACATGTTGTGTACATGTTGTGTGTATGTTGTGTAATGTTGTGTAAATGTTGTGTACATGTTGTGTACATGTTGTACATGTTGTGTACATGTGTGTATATTGTGTACATGTTGTGTACATGTTGTGTACATGTTGTGTGTATATTGTGTACATGTTGTGTACATGTTGTGTACCTGTGTGTACATGTTGTGTGTATATTGTGTACATGTTGTGTGTATATTGTGTAAATGTTGTGTACATGTTGTGTACATGTTGTGTGTATATTGTGTACATGTTGTGTACATGTTGTGTATATTGTGTACATATTGTGTACATGTTGTGTACAGTTGTGTGTATATTGTGTACATGTTGTGTACATGTGTGTATATTGTGTACATGTTGTGTACATGTTGTGTACCTGTGTGTACATGTTGTGTACATGTTGCGTACATGTTGTGTGTATGTTGTGTACCTGTGTGTACATGTTGTGTGTATATTGTGTACATGTTGTGTACATGTTGTGTACCTGTGTGTACATGTTGTGTGCATGTGTACATGTTGTGTGTATATTGTGTACATGTTGTGTACATGTTGTGTACCTGTGTGTACATGTTGTGTGCATGTGTACATGTTGTGTGTATGTTGTGTACATGTTATGTACATGTTGTGTACATGTTGTGTACATGTTGTGTACATGTTGTGTGTATATTGTGTACATGTTGTGTACCTATGTGTACATGTTGTGTG